GCACCCGAAAAACATTTCTACATCACCTCATCATTTAGAGGTGACTCAAACAGACTTAAATTAGCTATTACTATTACATTCTGGCCAGCTCAACTCGTGGTTATCGAAAAGTGGATGTCTATGTGTCACCAAAAACCCAAACAAAGCGTGTGTCATATCTCATTAGGTCTATCAATTTACATGTATGTGTGAAAACACGTACATAGAGAGGAGTAATCGTGAGCTACCAGTAAGGCTGGCTGAAAAAATATCCAAATGGCTACAAAGACAAATTAATCTCAATGGTCAAATAAGACCACAGGGGAGACAAACATGTTCATACATTACGAAACATTTGGTTGAGACTGGTTATACGGTTTTGGTCAGGATTGCCTAGGAAAGAGTTCTATGGAGAATGCTGGTGGGTGGCCTATCCCCCCCCACGAGGGGTAACAGACGTAAGTAAGTAAGGTCATAAAGTTGACTTCAAGTCAGCCTTTTTAGTTTTGTACGAATGTTTTCAAAGGCGTATATTAAAGCTTATTGAAGTCTTAGATATAGAGAAGCCGAAACCCCATTGTGTGATCAAAAACAATTTGTTCCTGCTGTTAACCTACCCTGGTACTACTGACTTGTTAACTAGAGCAGTTTTTACATTACTTTTGTGTACTTTATTATTTATGTCTCCTCTTACCTTATAGTATGTCTAGTTGACCTTTTATTTTGCATATATAATATCTTAACAAGTATGTATGGTCAGATTGTTCGAAACGTATTGCGCAAATATATCACATAATTCCTGTAACCTTTGTCATCTCATTGCATTATCAAAGGAACTGCTCGAAATGTAGTCAACCTTTAATGTAAGTTTTACCATAAAGATGTTGGTTTTATAACTAAATGATAATTTAATTCACTTGATATTGTTTTACTTGAATCTTCCCAAACAGGATGAAACGCGCGTCCTGGATTCAATTTCAGTCCTAAAACATCAATGGGAAGATTCAAGTAAAACAATATCAAGTGAATTAAACTTCACCCCATTGCACAAGCAAGTGGCTATCAGGTCTCAGTAGCTAAGTGGATAACGTGATAGCGTTTGAAGCGAACGGTACTGAGTTCGAGTCCCAGAGTGGACATCAACTCAGGTGCAGGTCCATCCGGCCCACGAGTCCCAAACAGGACGAAACGCGAGTCCTGGATTCCACTGCTAGCCACTATCCATCTTTGCTTATAAATGATAATTTTTCTTAAACGCGATTGTAGAAAGCTACGTATGCACATATGGTTGACCATCTAAGATACCTGCTAATTTGTAATTTGCTCAAAAGTGATTCAGATACATGTGTCATTCTTGTTGATGAAATCGATTTAAGTTTCATAATTGTCCTGTCAATGTTCTGACATTCAGTTTGACCATCTCCCGGTTAGAGACGTAGCTATTGACTCTACGATGTTTTACAACTGTGAGATTTTAACATCTTTGCAACTTGTTAGCATTAATTCAAATAAACGAATATGTAATTAATAGCAGTTGTTTATTAGTAGCCGACTAGTCCTACAAGTGAGTTGAACGCTTGTGATTCCGAAAAAACATTTAAAAGGGAGCATAGAGAAATGGGATGGGTTGAAGGAAGTTTGTAAAACGAAACTTGAGGAATTTAATTGTAATAACTGTGACACGGTTTGGAACTCCACAGAGAACATCTGCTCCTCTCAGGTTGTAGTAACGACTCGAGAACCAGTATTAACTAGTACGAAACATGGGTTGCCTTCCTACTGATTCTTCATAATGTCGAACCATTGAAACTAGTGAACATGCTGCAACTTGGGTGATGTAAGTCGATCGACATTAAAGATTATTCATTTATTTAAACACATAAACATTGGTACAAGCGGGCACCAAATACATATGCGCTAGACATCACCGTTCAGGGCAGGAATACTGCTCGGTTGTTGAAACCGAAGCAGGTAGTTTTCCTAGGTGGGCACTTCCATAGTCTTTGACTTACGGGTCTAATCCAAAAGGTATTGGAGCAACGTAAGGACATAGTCCCATGATTGCCAGTGACCAACAATAGGTTCATACGCCACCTGTCCCCACAAGATCCTGGAGTACATGTATACCATTGGTTTGGAACTAGGGTTTCTCAACTCTCCTAGGTGGATCCTCAATATTCACCGATTCAAGCGGCAATCATTCGCTTTTCGTCCTCTCAATTACGTAAACAATACCCACGTCGCGAAAAGGCAAAGAGAGGCTGTATACGCATGTGGGCATTTCGAGAGGAGGATCGGACTCCCCTCGCTCTCGACTGTACCAGGGCGTCTGAGGGCAAGACGAAGGTTACATGTGACTATTTACAGTTAGTCCGCTCTTATATATTGACCAACCGACCAGAAAAAATTTCATTCCTACCAGAACTCATACCTTGGAAATTTATGTGATCATCGAAATTCAGAACTGGTTAGTGTGATTGTCCTTTTGAATAATGATCCAGCGATTATCGGCTTACAAATAATTTTAATAGTTGAGTTCATGAGTTAGTTGAAACTAGACCACAATGGAAAACCTGGATGGCCGTTTCGTCCTATTGTGGGACTCCTCAGCAGTGCACACCCACGGCCCCGCCTCGTGAGATTCGAACACAAGACCTATCGGTCTCACACAACCTCTAGACCACTGTGCCGGCATCCAGTGGTGTTAATGTCTAACTTCAACTAATAAAGGAAATTGAGCGACACATCCACCATTAACTTCAGTTAGTTATCTCACAAAAGACTCGGTTGTAGCAGTGACCAGTGAAATAAATGTCAGGTTTTTCGCAACATTTTTTATCATGGCTTAAACACCATCCATATAATCTCAAAAGTCTAAAGTACTAACAGTACGGTGCTTAAGCAACCAGGGCCGATATTGTCAAGCTTGAACTAAGAATCCGGAGCTCTACACCGTCTAGAACTAGCTTCAAGCTGTTGCAGCAAAGAAAATATCGGGTAAATCGTAGCTATGAATTATTTTACTGGGACTATTACATTTTCTTCCATTGTGTAATTGTTAAATAACTGGATTTTCAGACTCCAAATGTTCTAGTTTTATTGGACTTATGGACGAAAGTTATACGTTTTAATATTCCTTAATTATCTGGGTCTTGTTCTGTTATATCCCTGAGTCGTTCATAAACTGTGATTTACGATTTAATGAGTTCTGGAAACTTAGGTGTATAAATCCACGAATTTTTGAATTACGATCTCTGCATGGCTAAATAGTAATAGGATTTGTCGGATTTCTCGGCTAAAACAGGAATGTGTCCTGCGCTGATAGTAGTTACGATCTATATCAATCACAGACCGAGGTTAATTGATTTCGGTTAGAGTGCATCATTATTCAATAGGCGGAAATGAAAGAGCTATGACGTCATGGTAAAAAAATTTCTCAACAATGTATTACACCACCAAGATCCAACAAAAGTGACACCTTTTACCGATGATGATTAGAAACTCAATAATTCATATTTCCAATTTGAACCAATTCTCAGTGTAACTAAATGATAATCACTTTAATGATTAATTTCGTAGTTTGATGCAACTATTTCAACATATACAAACTTCATTTACTTATCATTCCTTCATAATCATTAATTTAAGCTGTAATGAAAATTTACTCTTCAGTCATTTGGAATTGTAACTAGCATCTACCAACCCATCACCAGAAAAAAACATAAGGAATATGAATAAGAACAGTTAACTTTTAGACCATTACTACTGTAACAGTAGTGACGTTACTGACGCGAGTCTGTATTTGTTATTGCAAGGCAACAAAGAGTAAACGTACTGGGAGGAGAACAAGCCCTATGTAAGCTGGACCTGCAGAACGATGAATATAACTATTTCATAATATGTTTTCTCTTTTTGTACTTGAACTGTATCTTTCAATTTTCAAATATATATCTATTTGTGCCAGTGCGCCGCGTTCTTACTTCAAAGGTATTTACCAGTCCTAAATGTTATATTGTTCTTTCAGATCTCTCCTACTTCCACCAAGTAAACGCTAATATTACGTGCTACACTACCACTAACCCAGTATCAGTTCGTGATCTTAATAAAGATCGATTGTTCAAGAGAAAAATTGAACACACTAAAGTTGTTTAATAATTAAAATATGAGAGGCTCCCTAATGCCCTGGTACGGCCAAGAGTGGGAAGAGTCAGCTCTCCCTCTCCAAATGCTCGCTCATGACCACGTGCATACAACCACTAACAGGGAAGTCCTATTCACTGCCTTCTCACAGCATTACTGTTGTTTAAGAACTTCAGAGGATGAAAACCGAATATCCGGCAACTTTAACCAGGTTGGTGGACACGGAGAGTCCACCTAGGAGAGTTGGAAAACCCTGATTCCCAACCAATGGTGCACATTAGCTCTAAGATCCTGAAGGAACAAATGGCGTATTGGTCACTGGTTACCATGGGCCTGCATCTCCTAACATAGCTCCACTGCCTTACGGATCAGACCTTTAAATCGAAGTCACCGGCTGTGACCCCCTAAGAAAACTACCTGTTTCGGTTCAGGTACCCGGGTAGTATCCCAACCCTCACATAAATCGAATGATTTATGCAGCGCATATCTATTTGGTGACTTCTTGTTGTATCAATGTTTAAAGAAATAAACAATATGAGAGAAAGAGAGAGAGACAAAGAAAAAAATAAATACAATATATATTTTTATACAAAACAAAACAGAAAAAAAAACAATATACGAGTGAATAAATTCATATTTATATAAACATAAACATTTTACTTCACCAAAGAGAAAAAAACGACAAAAAAAAGGAGAATAATGAATACCGAAAATCTTAAAAAGATACTACACAATCATCATTCATTCTCTTTTTGTGTATCGTTTTTTTTTGGTGTTTTTTTTTCTTTTCCGGGAGAAAATCATCAACATCATGGTACTTTCATATCATTGATTTGTTGATTTATTCACAAGTAAGATTATGATTATGATTATCATTATTATTATAAATAATGAAAATGATTAGGATGTGTATATAAAAATGAATTTAAATTACTTAATGTACAAAGACCGCTTAATGTGTGATGGATAGAGATTTCCACACTATTTTCAAATACACTATAAAACGAGAACAAGAACAACAACAACAACAATAACAGGATGTAAGTGGAAACAAGAAAACAAAAGTTAACTATATTCAAAAGATAAACTGCTGTTTATGACGACTTTATTAGGTTAGATATTAGAATACGACCACCAATGAATGAGAATCAAGTTCAAGTGTGTTCCGTTTTAATGTAAGTAACCGGGAGAAACCGGTAAGAATCTATAAAACATTTAGTAGTGTTTCAAGTAATTTTTAATTATACTTATCCTTAATGGACAGGAAATTCTATTCTACTAACAATTTTTGTTGTCTTTTAAAGGTAGATTAAAAGAATAGGTTAATTGTAGTATTATGGTGTGGGTTACTTATATCCACATAAGTAGTATAATATAACGGTGGTCAGGCATAGAATGTATTTCAGCGGAACGGAACGTAATTGGTATGAAAAGGCATGAACAATGAAATCTGAGACAATGGGTTGATATTTTGCAAATTAGCTAGTTACTATATGGTTCCCCGATTTTATTAAGATGCTCTGTAATTTCGTGTCAAATGCATTCCTATTGTCCCCACTCGTGTTCTTATTCACTACAGTATATAACTGGATATGGTGAAATCATCAAATGAGTAACACTGAAGTAAAATGTAGGTAAGTCAGTTGATTGATTGACTGAGGTGGTTTCAACATATGTCTACGATGAGAAACCACTGTCTACCACGGTGTGCAATCAAGTAATCCGTTGAAGAGAGGCTAAAGAAACCGTTCACGGACTTATGCATGATAACCGAATAAGACGGATAATTTGCGCAAAATATATTTATTACACTAAGAAGTTGAACGCAGTTGAGAGGAAACATTGGTTAACTAGGATTTAGTGATAGTTGGGATATATCAGAAAGCCATACCTGCAATTTTGAGGGAACTGTTGCTCCCTGATGGATGCAAACCCCGGTCACTAATTTTCATAGTCTCACACATCACAGTTATTCGGGCTGTGACGGTTTCTTGTAAGATTAGATTATTTAGACTTGTTCTATAGAATTAGATCAGAACTAAAGACTAAACAAACATGACAGCACTCCGTTGTCAATCAATATAAATATTCATTGTTTGTTTTACGAATATTTAAAACTTACTGAACATTACTAGAATGAATACTTGATTTTAATTCATGTAAAGATTCTTGTATACTAGAACAATCATATGTAGATTCTTCATGTTCACTTAATGAACGAATTTGTACAAGTAAACTGACAAGTTTTGTAATCAGATCAACTGTTTTCAAATTTCGGAATTTTTGAGCCTGTAAACAAAAGAAAGTAAGTTTGAAAAACATTGATTTCAATTCATGAAACAGACAGATGAATTGAATTGAAGAATGCACAGGAGTGGGATACAACATACACACTTTCTCCTATTTGAAACTCGTCAGCTGGATGAACCTACAACCATCTAGTGTCAATGTTTACATCGAACCCAGTACCTTTCACTTCTAGCGCCCAACGCATTATTCACTGAGCTTGTGCAACAAGGGTTGACTTTTTATTCATTTGCAAGGGTTGTTTGGATCTCGTAGTTCATGTTAAGCACTGCAACTAATTTATCGCTTTTTGGCATATGTGCATTCTGTGTAGATTTCTTATTACTTAATGGTGGTATCGATGCAATTCGCACAAAATGCACATCTGTCAAAAAGAGATAAATCAGTTACTGTTCTTAACATGAACGGGAAGATTTAAACAACACTTATAAATGAACATAAGAACTATTCCGTAAATCAACGAAAATGTTGAAAAAACTAATCTCTACCCTAATGAATGCGGTTGATCTGACTTTAGAAGTACCATTTAAAAGTCTGCCATCAAAAAAGCCTATGATTAAAGAGAACTTTCAACACATTAAAAATCTCCAGTAGTAAGATTTTATGAATTACCCTTACTTTTCTACTATTCCTTTCTCTCTCTTACACCCTTGCAGGATAGACTCTAATTTGATCAATAACTTAGAAATCATAAAGTAGTGGATAATTTTATTTATGATCAGGAAGCTTTTAATACCCAAATCTTATTACAAATTGGCATGTACGTTTTTCAGATTCAGGCTTTACAAAGACGGCTACTAATATAACATTTTTGACAAGTTACTCCAACAGTTTAACAATCAGTAACACTTCAGGTCCTACAAGAATATAGTAATTAAAACACGATAACTAAACAGATATCAGTAAACGAAAAGAAACTGGATAAAACGCCTGAAAGCCGATTGATTCAAGTTAATTACAGTGCACAGAGTTGTATTAAAGTGGTCAAACAACTAAACTTCTAACCATTGGGTTGTACAGACGGATTGTGGCTAGCAGCCAGATCCAGAATGTGAAGTTTCATCCTAATTTCTGAATTCGTCAGGTACGCGTGCCTAGATCTCAGGAATGTTCACAATCCATTTATTTAATGAAAGCTTGTGAATAGAAGGATGCGGAAACAAGAAAAATCATGATTTAGCCTAGATATCTCAGAGCTTGTCAAATATTAGTTTATTTATTTATTTATTTGAACACATAAATATTGGTACAATAGATATGCGCCACACAAAACAATGAGAATTTAAAGAGAAGGAAAAAGAAAAAAGGTAAGGAGTGTAAAAAAGAGAACAATAACGAAGAGACTGGTGTAAGGTGGTGTAATAATAATAATAATAATAATAATAATAATAATAATAATAATAATAATAATGGGGGAACGGAAAGCTACAATTAGAAGAAATCATTCAGTTAAGGAAGATACAACCACTTTTTATGGAGAAAGTAAAAGAAGTTACAGCAGGATCGCCACTGGCTTCTATTCTGAGCCATATCTGATTACGTCTCTAGCCACTCCCGGACCCCAACCAAGGAGTCGTGAAGGACCAACAGAAGCCAGTCCTTTGCAGCTTTCTTTCATGCCACGACACCATGTCATGCACTGACCACCTCTCCGCTTCTTCCAACCAGTCCCAGAGTCGGCAAATAATGCACGACGTGGAATTCTCTAGAACGATATTCGTAGAACATATCCAAGCCACTGAAGTCGGTGTTTCAAGATGGTGATACCAATTGCATTATCATCTCTGTGCCCGAACACACGATGCCGAACCTCTGCATTACTAACATGGTGTTGCCACTGGATGTCAGCAATCCTTCGGAGACGACGATGATTGAACACAGAGAGTCGTCTAACATCCTCAACTCGGAGAGACCAGATTTCACAAGGATAGAGCAAAACTGCTCTCACTGACGCGTTGTAGATCCAACCTTTTACGGTCAGACTAACATCACGAAGGCGCCAAAGATGGCCCAGATTGGCATAAGCCGCTCTGGCTTTCAAACATTAGTAATAATACTAATACAAGCTATAGGTTGCCCACTCCAAACGTGTTCTACCATATAAAAACTCTGAGGCTGAAAGTTCATTGTATGGATTCATAATTAATTGCTGAATGAATCGAAAATTAATATAAAGCATAATACTGTCAAACTGTTCTACTAATAACTATTTAACATCACCAGTTTAAACTATCAAGTTTCCAATAATCTCAACTAAAGAGTATCTGAAGCTTGATTTTTACAGATACTTCGAATTCTCTCTATAAATACCGACGTACTTTTTATCGTCAATCTATAAAAGGAATAAACATCTCCTGAATTCCTGACTGTTGCGAGTTAGTTCAAAAGATTACCGCGGATGAGAGGCGAAAAGTACCGACTTCTATGGTGTTTTGTGTCATTATTGAGCATAGTTGGTGTAACCAAGTAAATTGTTGGGATATTTAGGAAAATATCCCAAAGATTATTCTGTCAAGTCTAATGCTATCCTCGGACTTGAGATGGTATTATTTTCTTATTGGTCAGTATTTATTTCAGGTGTCGTTTTCCTACTGGTCGATATTGTACAAAATCTTGTTTTCTATTTTATGGTACGATGTGGTCTGCTTGATTGGTATATAAACAGAGTACGTTTGAAATATAATGATTCATATCTCCGAGGCTGAGACTTGCGTACTGGACTCAACTGGCTAGGCTAGACAGGGAAGTGGGACCAATCAGAACCCTAGGCCGTTCTTACGTGTTTGCGCGTCTTTGGTTCGATCGATAATTCGCTGTCCTCTAATCTGCTGCCGTCACAGTTATAGCATAAATACTTAACAGTAAGACACTCTATTATTTAGTAACCGTCTTTCATCTATGGATTATGAAATTCTGATAGCATAAGAGAACGTTTTGATGTGATAAAAATTTTCTATAAATCTATTAATGAGATAATTTGGAAAAAAAGAAACATTAACTTAATTAACTAACCTGCATACTCTTTATTCGTGTAACGATTTCGTAGGCATCTTCATCACAACGCTGTTTGAAATCAGCTGCTTGTTCTAACGGTGCTACGCCATGTTCTTGAGCAATCTGTAAATAGGAACATGAATAAATTTTTGGGAATACACTGTGTTGCCCAGATTGATCATAGTGAGAACTACTATGATGATCTTATTAGAGTAGTAACAATATATACAATATGTCATTAATCTAGTATACAATGAAAGGTTAAAATGTGAGTTGGTTTCACGTAGTACCCTGGTAATTAAAGTTCGTTTATCTGCTGAGAATTAATGAAATTACTTGACTGTTTAAATCGAACGAAGTAGGTGATACTGAATCTACATCCACCTCGTTAGTTTATTATTTGTTACAATGATACACTATTATGTAACTGAAAACATTTTCAGAACTGCACATAGGGATGGTCGATCAAAGGTGAATGCAATTAGCAAACGAAATAAACTAAAAAATATGTTGGTGAATTCATTCGCATTCATTTCGTTGTACAGGCCAGTGTCAACTTTAATATTCGGTTCAACAAAACTCATTAGTAAGCAATCTCAATGATCCTGAAACAACGTATAAACTATTTCACGTTTTTTTTAAAAAACAATATTCAATAAGTTAGCCATTCAGATATGATGTTGTTATTCCAAAAGATATTACAAGTATATTCATGTAGTCAGCCAGAGTCAAAGACAGTAAGAATGCGGATCCGTTAAAGTTGCTTAAACCCACATTATAACACCACAATAGAAAATCAAGAAGACAAGTGGCAGGGGGAAGATACAACGGTAAACTAAACATGGAAAGTATTGTTCAGGAAAAATGGGTGAGAATCAAGATTTTGCGCCATGCCATACAACATCTGAGGCTATAGATTATGGTGAGCGGAGCTGACAACAACAACAAACTTGCACCTGCTGACATATCTCAGATCAAAAGTCAATTACTTCATGAATTAATATTATGTTTTGGTCCGGACGTCATTTAGCTTTTTTCTCCAACATATTTCATTCTATCCCTGCATTTTATCAGCGTCTTCACCAAACAGAACTATGTCATCTGCGTATTCTACGTCGATAAGTGGACCTCCTGGAAAGAGGTTATTTCCAGCAGTAGGTCTAGGATGAAGTTAAACAAAAATGGAGAAAGTGGACAGCCTTGACGGACACCACTTGAGGTTGCAAAAGCAGATGACAATTCGCCATAAGCTCTGGCTCGACTAGTAGTGTCCGAGTAAAGGGCCTTCACAAGGTTTTTGTACTTCTGAGGTACGCCTTTCAATGACAGACACTGCCACAGAATCTCGCGGCCTACAGATTCAAATGCTGCTTTTAAGTCAAAAAGACCACCATTGTCGAACGCCGATAAGTATGCCTATGTTCTAGAACCTGACGAATGGTGAATATGTGGTCGATGAAGCCACGACCAGGTCTGAAGCCAGCTTGATTCTCTCATGTTTGTAGTTCACGAGTCTTGGTTAGGCGTCTGACAATTATCGAGGCTAGTATTTTAGATACTATATTAGTTAAACTAATCCCTCTATGGTTGTCACAGGATGATTTTAACCCTCTCTTATATATTGGGACGATAAGTGATTGTGACCAGTCAGATGGAATAACATCTAATTCCCAGATCTTAGCTAAAATATTAGTCAACCTAATCGCTAAAATTGGACCACCATCCTTAAAGACCTCTAGAGCCAATCCATCTGGACCAGCTGCCCTTCCTCGTTTCAGATTAACTATAGCCTTTTGAACTTCAGCTAGAGTTAGGGGAGCTACTTCAATGTTCCATTCACAATGTCTGGGAATGGAGGGTAGTTGTAGAGTAGCTGAAGGCCAACTAAACTGTTCTCTAAAATGTTCTGCCCATCGTTCTAAACGTCTGGACTGGGAGCAGATGGGAGTGTCGTCTTTTTCACAGATCTCACTTACACTTGACAACAACAGCAACCTATTAACGAAATACAAACATTTACATACGTATTATATTGGCATTTGATTAGTCACTGAATACTATATATAACAAATAATGGGGGTACAACTGGATTTTACACGAATTATGCAATCAAATGTTATATTGAGTAGATATCACAATAAATGAATAAAGACGAATGATGGATATCATACTAGATGAACACCACACAAATGCGTTACTGGATATTGCGTGGTAGAAGTTGGTGAAAGCAAGATCAGGTTTACATCTGTCCCGAGTATTTGTTAATTATCAGGCTTTAAGTGTTGGGTGGCCAAGCCAAAACGTGGCATCAGTGCTTGAAGCCACTAACTCCTAGTCTGAACCATATTGGTAAATGCAGACTACTTGGTTCGGGTCCGCGTGACTATCGTAACCAATGGTTGGAGACTCTGGGTGACATCACTCAGAATCGATTACAATGTCTTAAGTGTATACACTCTTTGTCTTTCCTTGAGATTAAAATTGCTTTATATCTTTCTTTTTACGAACTAATTCTTTCTTCCTGTATGTAAACTTTCTTTTATATATTACCACCCCTGAATTAACTACTTCTATGAATTTGGTGTTCATCTTCTTGTGGCTAATGAGGTATGGCAACTTGGGCCGATGAATATATGTACCTGGTCCTGCATTGTGAATGACTGATTTAGAGTTGCTTACACACTCCAAGTATTAATTTATAATAAAAAAAGGTACACCTTATAAAATGTATGAAACAATAACTTACTTCATTTGCATATTGTAATACATGTACTAAATATTGGTTTAATTCTTTATTTAAACGTTCTAAATGCATAACCAAAGTGAGATATGTATGTTGAAATTCTAACGATAATTCAGCTTTATTAGATATCTATAATATATATATATATATGAACTATTGAAAGAAAGAAATTCACTACAAACTTTTCGTTCTGCTTCATCATTTAAATCTTGTAATTCATCAACACATCGTTTCTTAACTTCTAGAATTTTAGATAATTTTGTCTACAAGAGAAAAAAACATTTTTCATTAGGAAAATACATAAAAGTGTAATTTAAACTGAATGTAATTCATTTACAGGTTTATATTAATGGCTTGAAGAGATTGACCAAAATAAAAATGGATAAACATGAAGATGGACAGTATTATTATTCACGTTAATAAGAACCAACTAACAAGGAATATTGAAGTTAGGTGTCGATATATGATTGTATTAGCTAAGGTGATTGAGGCATATGCTAAAGATGATTAATCATCAACTTAACTCAATTAGAGGTGTCGTAGGTTTTAGAAAGCCATGAACTGACATTAATAAATGTCACTAGTGTGTAAGATTAGTGACTTTTAGCCAAAGACTGTAGAAAAGCCCAAAACGACAAAAAATGTCCCACCGACTGCTCCGACGTGCGATGTTTCGTGGTGTAGGGGTAGATTGAATGAAAGCTAGAGGCGGCCAGAACAAAACATGGCACAAATCCATGAAGTCACTGACAAATGGACTGAGACATGTTTGTAGATGTACACTACCTGATTGGGATCCGTGAGACGATAGCAACCGATGGTTAGAGACCTTGAATGAAATGGCTCAAAGTCGTTTGCAATGGCGCAGATGCATCCATTCTTCGTGTTCTCCCAAATAATAATCTTCTCAATTATTTATGTCCCTTTTTTCCTTTTTCCATATTTATTTCACTGGATTATACTCCTTGAATAACATCTCCAAACCCTAATCTTTCCGATTACCGCTTATACTTGTACTACCTCTATCACTGCAGGATTTGAATTGACAATTGTATTTCTGTGCTAATGTGCTAGCTTGAACTGATGTACGTACATACGAAGTTCTACGTTGTTGCTGACTGACTGAAGCATCAGAGAGCTAAAGTTTGCTGACAACTTCAATATGAATGTAACCCTAGGGGAAAAATAACTCATGGTTACTGATAGGATGAGTGAAAATTGATCCTAACTGTTAAAAATTCATTGGAGATTTCCTGTAATCACTTATGAAATTTATCCATGTATATAAGCGTTTCACATCATTTGGGAAAAATCCCTATTTTTTGGTTAAATTTTAGGTGCTTCAGTAAGTAATTTGACCTCGTGAGCAGCAGCCATAAATCAACATTTCACTCATTCGAACAATCCAAAAGTTTGTTTAAGCCAAAGTTACGTACCACATTTTATCTTATGAAGAATCATTGTCTAGGAAAAAATCTACTTACCACCATGACTAAAAATTTCATTGGATACCCTCCATATATATCGGCCTCATTGAGAAGTAAGCGACCACCTGAAGATTCATTCAAAGATAGTGCAGCACTGCCCATTGATGCAGCAACGTCACCGCTGCTAATTGCAGGGAGTTTTAACGGGGTTGACAAGAGATTATTATTATTAGTGGTAGAGGTGGTGGTCATGAAGTTTGGAGTTCTCGTCGACGGACTACCACCAATAGTTCCACCACTAGCTGCAGCTGCAGCTTCCGACTGACATAAAGGGCAGTCATGAACAGCTAAATCACCGGACCCACCACCACCTTGTCCTATTCCATGTCCGAATTTATGGTGATGCATATGATGACGTTTGCCCTATAAAAAAACAGTTGTGTTGAAATGTCGTTAGACACCAGACTACTCAAACTTAAAGGAGTAACAGTTATCTACTGATATGAACTCTTACTTCAGATCAAATTTCGATAGCTTCGATCAAAAATTCACAAAAATACATAGTAAAATAAATGTTTAGGAGTTATTAATCAAAAAGTTAATGTTTGGTTTATATCCCGTATACAACTACTGTCAGGGAAGTCCTGTTCACTGCCTTCTCGTAGCACTACTGTTGTTTACGAAATTGGGGGGACGAAAAGCGAATGCCTGGCACTTCAACCGGATTGGTGGACACGGAAGGTCCATCTAGGGTAGTTGGAAGACCTTGGTTCCAAACGAATGGTGCATATGGGCTTCAGGATCCTGAGGGAACAAATGGCGTATGAACCTACTGTTGGTCACCGGTTACCGTGGGACTGCATCTCCTGACATTGCTCCACTGCCTTTTGGATCAGGTGTGGCCCCTTAAGGAAACCACTTGCTTCGGTCCGGGCACCCGGGCAATATTATACCCCACATACAAATCGAGTGACTTGTGTGGCGCATATGTATTCGGTGCCCCTTTGTAACAACGCTTACGTATGCAAATAAATAGATTAATTAAACTATACCGTGCTTATCGACAGACATCAGCACGGTCTATAGTATCAAAAAAAACATTTTGTATGTGAGCTAGCTCTACACCCGACAATATTTTGTAATACTCAGCTAAATAGTACAAACATGATGCAGATAGATCAAAGCACTTGCGAATGCCTTTTCAAGCGCAGGGATTCATTTATGTTTAAACCTCGAGAAGTCAGTGCACGTACTGAAATGTGTGAAAAAAAAACATTTATACTTGTCGGTGGATTTTTGGGTAAGTACACAATTTAGATTAAAGGCAAAAACGTTTGGCTATGTTAAAAAGGCGTATGTGGAAGAAAAGTGACAATAGTTGGTAACTTTTCACAAATACACAGATACGTTTATACTGACTCCATCTGACAATTTGTCCGACCTTTGTCGGGCTAAACAAAACTCGATAACTTTTAAGTACTGACAAATCACAGTATAATTTTGGACAGCACTGTATGAAAAAAGTATGTTGAGCAGCCAATAATGTCACTGAAACTAAAGTAAGGTGATGTGATAAAAGAAACTGCAAACTAAACAAGTAAAATAGTAAAATACACTGGACCGCATTTAAGTCTGATGACCAGGTAAAACTTGGTAAAACGAATTATCACCTGAGAAAAGATTCTACCTTGGTGATTTTTCAAAATTAATCTTTGTACATATATGACATTCTACACATTATGTTTACAAATACGAATCAATCAATTACCTGTAAAGCAGATTGTGCCAGAAGTCGAGCGGGACTCATGAAAAGATTACGACTGGCTTTGTGCTGGGTTTTGTATGCAGACAAAGGTATAGTTTCTTGGGGTAAAATACTCAGGACTTCATAGTCAGGTATTGACCGAGTGCCAAGAGCAGGTTTATCGAAAGTGACACGATAGCAATGTCTTAATGCATCGATAGCATCAACTTTCCCAGTGTACAAACCATCCGTTGGGTAGCGAACCCTGAAAATGTGTAGACGTTAGACGGTGCAACTGTCAGTTTTTGCATAATTAAAGCATGAAATTCTAAAAATCATTACTTAATCAATATTTCTATAATATTACTGGAACTTCAGTAAGTGCGTATGGTCTTGATTATTAAACTTATTACGTAGAGATTTGATAAATCATTTTATCAAAGGAGGAAACTAGTTCTATAATCTGTAGTTAAGACTAATCAAACACAATTGGACCGTGGCTTAAAACCAAGTTTATGAACCTGTATCTGATAAAGGAGTTAACATAAAAAAGGTCAAACCTATCAGTCTGTCAGAAATTTAAATAAGTGAACTACTGTGATTATCCACTGATGATATTTACAAAGTGCTCCAATAACGACTAGGTATTGGTAATTAATAGGCGAATTCTATTTGATACTAGTCTTCCAACACTTTTATACAAACGGCAATAGATCACCAGAAGTAATTCAATTTATTATACTTACATGAACACTAAATCAACTTAACTACTAGTGCTTAAAAGAGGCAGTAAAGTGGTTAAAAGAAATCTGGAGATGTACTACTACAATCAAATTACTGGAGGAGGCAGTCAAATCTATCGGGATCGAGAAAACCACCTGATTATCCAAACTACTTTCCGATTGATCTACTGAGAATTAACGAAACTCTGGCTAGAAACGAATGACTAGGCGAACAGAAGTTACTTTTTGGCGTGTAGATAGTTGAGCTACCTTCAAAAACATTTAGTCCACGAAGAAATATGATGACAAACAGTAACTTTGGAGCTAGAAATTTTGCTTGACGTGGGTTACAGTTTCAGTCCGTTAGTAACAAAGTGGAATTTCGTACGTACGTACATCAGTTCGAGTTGTCACACAACATTAGCACAGAGATGCAGTTAAAGTTTCAGATCCATCTCGTGTCATACTTGGGAAATAGTCTACTTCCATACTTCCTTGTGGTGCACATCGTTCATTCCACTGACAATGGATACGGCCGAGGGTGAGGAGTCATCTCTTCCTTTCGATATGCCCACATGGTCACGCGTATACAGTCACTACCAGGAAGGTCCTACTCACTGCCTCCTAGCAGCGGACGTGTTCCTTACGAAATTAAAAGGACGAAAAGCGAATGTCCAGAGCTTCAGCCGGGTTGGTAGATACAGAGGATCCATCTAGCGGAGTTGGAAAGCTATGATTCCAAACCAGAGGTATACATTAGCTCCATGGTCCCGAAGGAAAAAGTGACTTACGGATCTATTGTTGGTCACCGGCCACCATGGGACTGAATCTCCTAAGGTTAATCCACTGCCTGGTGGATTAGACTTCTAGGTCAAAGGATCCAGGTGTGGCTCTCTAAGAAAACCACCTGCTTTGATTTGGGCACCCGGACAGTGTTACAGTCCTCACACGAATCGATTGTAACTGCTGCTGGCCTCATTGTTATTGTGTCGTACCAATGGTTATGTGTCCAAAAATAATATACTTGACGACACTGTCTATAACCAAACTAGTTAGGTCTTACATTATAAGTGTGGATCATGTTCTAATGGAAGATGCACGTGACTGCTAAGTATAGTTCTGAGTAAATAACTGCTGACTTTTGTGCAGCAAACAAAAGGAACAACAAAAGAAATTAACTCAGCTTTATACTTGTATTAACATGATCCAGGTGACGAAAACAAGTTAAAATTCTTACCTAGCGGTTATCTTCGTCCCTATTATTAATGGCATTGGAACGTGCATATCGTCCGGCAGATCTCTTAAGAACTCTAGTTGCACTGACCGAGTAGCTTGCAAGGTGCGGATTTTTTCACGCTTTTCATTAAGGGAACGACGTTCTTCGTCAAAGAAAGCTGTAGAACAACGACGTGGCTTTCCCATCAAACGACGTAATAACGACCAATGAGCACGTGATAAACGGCGAGTTTTGACGTTTGGAAAGCTCTCACGAAGACAAATGCGGAAATCATTTTCGCCTAGTAATAAAGGTCTAGGGGAATAAAATCGAAGGCTATATTACCTGTCCAAATTGGAGTAGAACCACTCGTAAAACACCCATTTATGTGCCTTCGGTAGCTTTAAAACATTCCGCAAACGGACGGCATTTGTTTGTGCCATTCGCCTTTCAGGATGATGCATTTGCGTACGCCAGGGCATATGCCCAATCATTGATTTATGCTACGAAGTTACATTGGTGATATAACATACCAGTTTAGCAGGCTTCCTCACTTTTGGTGACATTTCTTCTGCTTGTACTGGGGGTCTTGGGGAATGCAGTAATCGTGGTTTGTAATTTGTTGGGGGCTCGTAATAATCATCACTATAGTACCGGTTTTTCTTCCGAACCCGAGGCGGCTATATTCATAAAGTTGGGGAAAAAGACACTTACATTTTTCCTGTAGGGGCTATTGTACTCCTCTCCTTCATCCCCGGAATCTGATAAGTGAAAACCAGTTATTTACCAAACTTACAATTCTGAGCTTCCGAGGACATTTTGAATCAAAATGCCGGCGGGCTTGCAACAAGGACTGGCGGAATAAGTTCACCGGTACAATGTCCAATAAAATTTCTGTGCTGAAAAACTTCAAGGACTGAATAACAAACTTTATTAGGACTCAACCGAGTTCAACTACTTTGACACTCAATATATTATGGTTCAAGAGGGTCTGTACTTTTTAATAACAGTAAATTGGAGTGGCAAATCAGTCTTCAGTAATAAGGATATTAGGTTGGTGAACCTGTATTAATCCTGACACATTGCTTACCAGTGAAGGCCCAGCTCCTTCTTCAAAGTATTCACAGATGAGGCTGATTTTTTCAGATTCAGATTTGTGTAGTAAGGACAGAAGGCCTACGGCCTATGTTATTCCTTTTCTAGTATGCTTCTGTGAGTGCCTAGTCTTCTCTTGAAAGAGCCAATTGAAGGTGCGGACACCACTGCTTCAGTAGCAGGTTCCAAGTATTTATGACTTGGTGTGAAAACCTGTATACCACGGGTATTTTGTTCGTTCTTGGCTTTTCTACTCGCCTGCTATGTCCTCTGAGGTGTCCCGATCTAGTGGGAAGAAAGAGAGAGAATAAGTTAGGTCCGAAATCATTTCTCAGTATTCTGTACATCAAAATTAGATGGCCCCTTAGTCTGCGATAGGACAGAGTAAAGAGGTCCAGTTTTTCAAGCCGCTCTTTGTATGATAAACCCCGGAGTTCTGGAATTGCACGGGTAGCTGCCCTCTGTACTTTTTCCAGTGTGTCCGAGTCACCTTTTAAACAGAGGCTTGCAGCCTGAACGCAGTTCTCTAGCTTAGTTCTCACTAAGGATGTGTATACTGTGTTGAACATGGTAGAATCTAACTTGGTGAATGTTCTTTTTAAATCTCAGAGGGTTCGAAACCCTTTGGCTGAGACCTCCCGGCAAAAGGCCGTCGTCTTATGATCAGTACTCACTGTCACCCCTAGATCCTTATGAGACCGCACTACGGGTAATGACACATCCCCTATGTTGTACGTATTAACCTTTGAATCTCCCAAGTGCATGTAGACACTTTTCCGCGTTGATAGGCATCAGCCACTCTTTACACCACCTTACAATATTATTTAAGTCTGCCTGAAGAGTAAATGCGTATTTGTCTCCAGTTATTACTCGCCAAATTTTTACATCGTCATCGTATAATAACATTGGAGACTGTACTATACTTGTAAGATCATTAACGTACATTGTGAAAAGTAAAGGACCTAGGACGGAACATTGGGGTACTCCATCAAGTACTGGTCTCCCGATGTAGCACTTGGAATTTATTCTTACTTTTTGTTTACGACCTACTAGGAAATCCTTAATCCATTTTAAAAGAGGTCCGGCAATACCAAGGTTTTCCAACTTCAATAGCAGCCTATTAGTTGGCACCTTGTCAAAAGCCTTACTGAAATCTATGTAGACAACATGCACTGAGTTTCCGTTGTTTCGAGCACTGATCCAGAAATCCCTTGCTATAAGGAGGTTCGTTGTACAGGCTAAACCCTTTTCAAAACCATGTTGTGCCGTGTTCAGTAGATACTGCTTGTTCGGGTAAGGCGTTACAATCACTGACTACTCGATGAGAAAAACGGGACCCCACTTTAAGTTTATTAGATCGTGGTTTATGAACCTTCTTGCTATGACCTCGAAGATTATTAGTGCTGTAGGGAGCGAAAAGATAAGACATTAACACTCGAATCATAATTAAAGATACAAAATGCCAGTATAAGGTCACCTCGTGTCCTACGATACGACAAGTGTGGTCTTACATAGGTGGGATATAAAATTCGAAACGTTTCCTCGTCAATAGATTTGAAGGCTCAGTGAAGTGACCGTGACGCGCGAAAACCTTTGACAGTGGCTGCGTTGCAATGCGTAGTTGTTTTTAAGTCATGACTTATTATTACTCCTAAGTCTTTATGTTCTTGAACGCATGGAAGAGGTTTACCATCAATAGTATAATGGTAACTACTACCTTGACCGATGTGCATTAGCACACTCTTCCTAAAATTGTTTTCTTAGCCCCAACCTCGAGTCTATCTAACTAAATCGTCTAAGTCAGCTTAAAGATCCAGACGATCAGTTTCTTTTTTTTATTGTTCCCCATATTTTTACGTCATCCGCAAACAATAATGTAGACGACCTAAGCAACAACGATAACTCATTACCATAGAGAAGGAATAGCAGAGGGCCTAAGATGATGCCTATGGGTACACCACTTTGGGCCGTCTTCCAATCGGATGGCGTCCCATTGACCTCCACTCTCTGTCTGCGGTCATATAAGAAGTTTCCTATCCACTCCTGTACAGTATCTATTATTCCTAAGCTCGTGAGCTTCTGCATAAGACCTAATTGTGAAACCTTGTCAAATGCTTTGCTAAAATCTATGAATATCACATCGACAGACAGACCGTTATCTAGGGTTGCTGTCCAATCTTCTCTCGCAATAAGTAAGTTAGTCAAGCATGAACGCTTGTTGCGAAATTCATGTTGCTCAGAGGCTAACAGATTGTGTGAATCTATGTGGCCTAGCAACCTAACCCGAATTATCTTCTTAAGTAACTTAACGACAATGCTAGTTAGACTGACAGGCCGGTAGTTAGATATTATCTGTCGCTGACCGTCCTTAAATATGGGACTGACTAGAGCGTCTTTCCAATCTCTAGGGAGTTGAGCGAGTGAAAGGGACATGTTGAAGAGTGTCGCAAGCGGTTTGGAAATAATGTCCGCAAGAGATGACAGCAGCCGTGGATGTAACCTGTCAGGGCTCGGTACCTTGCAAAGTTGGAGGTTAGTTGTTAACGGAGGGGCAGTTTCCTCAGTCACCTGTATATATTCAATGCCTGGTATCTCGGTGTGAGTGGGACAAGTATTTGTTACTATAAACGTAGAGTAGACTTCGCTAAAATAGTTTGAAAAAGTCTCAGCTTTTGCTCAACCTGATTCAGCTAGTAAATCTGAATTTTCGTGTAACAGTAACGGGGGAATACCATCACTACTTTTCATTCGCCGTTTAACATACGAAAACAATCGTTTCGGACAAGTACGGCTATCACATACTAACTGTCGTTCGTAAGTGGTACGGCATTTGACTACGGATTTCTTACAGACTTTACGGGATCATATATTATATTTCAGTTTTACTTCAGAAGAGATAGGAGGCTTGATGGCCTGTGTTAGTCCTGGCAATGGTGGTCTCTCAGATGATACAATTTTCTTTTGAGAGAATAGACGGATAGATAGAATAGAAGTTGTCTTAGTCTTCATTTAGTATTAGCGCTACTAAATATTTGATTATAGTGCAACTGACATCGTGAAAACAAAAAGATAGCCGTAGGTGGACTCGTTTCACCTCATGGGTTTTGGTTCAGTCCAAGAATCTTCGTCAATATTTAACAGTACTGTCAATACAGACTGTCTCATTATTAGTCCATTGTAAGCTAACGGTAGTCGTTCAGTTTTGTCATCCAGTCTAAAACAGTCAGTGACCAAATCAGTTCTGCAAACGGCCCGAAAACATATATTATCGACGGAACCAAGTGGTATTAAATCTTTTAAGACCATAGAAACTGTTCTCATGGCTCATATGGTTCCGGCAGAATATACGAAGCCTTCGATTTACGAGCTTCCGTATCTAGTAGCAGTGTATCGCCAACTCCCCCAGGTAGGAACTTTTATATTCCTCATCAACGTTCATGTTAGCCTACCTTATACATGCGTTGTATTATATCATCTCTACAATATTTGAATTCAGCAACTATTAGTACATTCTCTAATATGGAGCCTCTGACTTCACTTCACTCTAACAAGACATAATATGAATTTATTCTAATTTATTATACCTCTGTCCGTTCTACTACACAATGTTAAGCAACCTTTGGCGTTCATATCCAAGTGCCTTGCTGCTCCTCTGTTTCTTTTTTTTTCTCCTTCAGAATCTTGCTCTGAGAGCACAACTATGAAACTTCTGACGTTTGGAGCAAACTTAACGTACGCGTCCTCTCAAGGTCATAGTTTACAGCAAGCGCTCTACGATCTCACTTTATAACAACTATAAACTTAATAAGTTGGGAAGCATTTTGCGAACCAACAAATATTGTAATTTATAGATCATGCCTGTAAAAACGGTGTGTACCTGCACATGCAGAAATATATTATTATTATTATTATTATTATTATTATGTGGACCGCCTTTAACATTTTCCATTAAGCCCATCATGGTCGTAATTTCTACGCGTGCCAAAACAACCTCGTCCATTTCCCAAAGATCTTTTTTGTGAAATCCCAGCGTCGTAGAAACCCTTAAGTCAGCTGAACTTTGTCCATACAGTTTGTATGATTTTCATATCCAGGTGACGAAACTGCTTCCAATTCGGCTTTATCTCTTAAAGATATCTCAGTTCCATCTTAGCTCACTTCTGTAGTAAACGTCACTGAAGGTAAAAACTCAGTATCAACAGATAATTGGGAGTATCATTTCACCTGAGCAATAGATAGAATTGAGAGAACCGCTATCCAGAAGGGGTTAAATTTCTAAACTCCCCTCCAGACCATATATTTTGACTATAATAATACAAAAATAAAGCTTCACTGAGTTCCATTCTTTAGATAAATTTAGTACGTGGTTTTTACTACTATCAGTATGTAACACCGAACGATGCGGAATCTTGCAATTCTCAACGTCACACTTTAAGACCGGGTTTTATGATCTAGTTATGTGACCTTTCCTCAAACACATTACGTAAATCACCTCACTTTGCTTCCCCTCTCCTTTCCGCGACGCTGGTTTTCGACAACTTTTTGCAGTCCGTCACATTTTGACCACATGTTAAGGCAGTCAAATTTTATTGGAAATGCTAAAATCTCTTCAGAAACGATAAACACTGGAACATTTTCTGTTAATTTGGTTTCACACATGACCTTTACCCACTGATGGGTCTTCATCGTTTTTTAGGTCACCGAATCGCTGTCTACTTGAAGATCATATTCTGCCAATATGGTAGCAGCTATTGTTTTCGGTTCTATGATGTTGCTTGTCCTACATCAAATATCATGTCACCTGCAATTCTGTCTCCTGTTTTAGCTATCGAGGTTTGATGTGTTGTGCAGAAATGGTTATTATTGATCCCAAAGAGAATGATTTGTAGAATTATGGTCTACTATGATATTAGTACTGCTCTAATAATAGACCTAATCCTAAATTTGTAGATTTGTCATGATATAACTGCCTAATCCATAAGATCTTACGTGGAAGTCACACCATCGGCTACATCAACTCACTGCATCGTATCAATTACCAGTACATTATGTAGAACAAGGTTAGGCTAGAGAAAGAACAATATATTTAATATGAATAGAAGATATAAAGTAACATTGAGATGGACCACGCCTGCATGGACGAGCCACGCCATCCGATCAAACCCAGTCCATTCAATTCATTCTCTGCGCCTTCTCCATTGTTAGGCATTTCTCCGCGTTAAATATTGAATATCTATTTTCTGAGTAGTCTCGTGTTCATAGCTTTGTGGATTGTGTAGCTATTGTCCAATGCCACTACACTACTCTCCCACCAGAATCAACGTGATGTTGGTTCGATACCAAATTGGGTGGGATCGTCGCGCGCCGGAGGTTACCAAGGATAATAAGAATCCTCCGGGTATTGGTAAGCTGAAAGATAAATCAAAAAGAAAGCGGCAGCATCTGGTCGGGAAATACATGTAATAATTTTAAAATATCTGCCTTCATGCTTAAAACGCTTGAAATGAAAATTTGAGTGAAGATTATTTGAACTATCAAGAACGGCATAACAATAATAATAATAATAAAACGATGCGTGCTAATAGTCGTTGGTTAATAACTTAACGTATAGGTAGTAAGTATTTTGTGTTTAGAAGTATTAAAGTAATAAATGTTGTAGAAATATTAATATTGGTATTAGTTTTGGTTTAAATTATGAAATCAATTTACAATTATGCCGGTATGTTGTCCAGATGAGTTGATTTCTAATTGCATATGTATTAGTAGGCTAACTGAAGGAACAAAAATATTACCGTGGAGAATTCCAACTAGTGTTCCAGTTAGTTTGATACTGTTTACTTAGTTACTGGGAGATTTTCTCAACCTCATTTTTACTTGATCGTGATAGAATTTAGTAATACTACTAATACACATGAATGTTTATCAAAACAAAATTTAAATACGTGAGTGATGATTATATGAATTTTGGACAGATAGCTAGAAACAAGTCGTTAAACATGAGTGTATTCGTAAGAGACATGCTCTAGACTCAATGTTCTGATCTGTGGCAGACTACTTATTTATATTTATACTTGCCGGCTGATTGGGCATACAAGTTAGTTGCAAGTATGCAGTTTATTTTAAGTCGGAATACGATTTAATTGAGATATAGTGGTTATAAGTTATTGAAATCAGTTAAGCCTATGCGTCATATTACGAAGTGATGTGGTGCTGCAAGATGTATTTAGCTAAATGAGTGTTTACAAGATGATTAATAGTGAGTGATGCTCATGTGATTAACAGGGAGAACATAAGTTGTAACCAGGGGGAGTACACTCCCAACTCATGTCTATGATAATGGCTTGAACCTTAGTCAGTGTTGGGGTAAATTCGACATTGATGTTTTCAGTTTACAGGAGATTTGCTCGACTGCTTATACTGATTATTTGCATGCATGATTGTGTCGCTAGACCATCAATTAGACTGACAAGGTTTTGAGATATTTAGTGAATGAGCAACTGATAGAGAAACATACTGTAATCATCTGTAGTGAATGAAGATAAAAGAAAAACAACACTAGTGATAATTATAAGTCAATTTGCTGACCGATTTTGTTAATAGTTTCCTTAATTTTATCAATCATATTACGTGATTGTCAAGTTATGACAATGCTTTATGACGATATCCTGAAACTATTAAATTTAACTAGTTATAGTGTTGATTGATGATTAGTCAGTGGAAAAATAGGTATTGTTGCTTTAGGTGATTCGAAATTATCAGAAAATTATAACGTTAAAGAATCCGAGACGCCTAATTTAATTATAAATTTCAGTTCAGAAGTATTCGTTATGTTAGTTCTAGTAAGCTACGGAGTTTTGATTTTAAACGTTTGTTTAGCCAACAGCTACCTGAGGATTTAGTTATTTTACTAGTGCAGTTGATAGTACCTAAATTTGTAATCTTATTATCTAAACTATGTCCGCATTTTAGGCTGCTAATATGATAAATCAATCTATAAACCCAAGTACGATTAGCAACAACGACTATGATGGGTTTATTGATAAATGTTAAAGGCGATTCAGATGATTTCTAAATTTAGAAGACATGAAGATATAGTGTTACGTATGTACGGGCCAGGTTAACCAGCAGGTTGTTGACGTATATGACAATTTAAAAATACTGAACATGACCAGATAAATAAATTCAAAGTTAAGAATGCTTGTGAAACTTCAGGCAGGAATATGACGCGTTATAAGCATTCCATAAAAAGTTACTGCATTTAGCCTAGTGACACTTACAAATATATGGCAAAAGCAACTGGAACACATATACATGTTAAGTACAAAAAATCATTAAGTAAAATAGTTGGACTCGCCTGGGTTATTTTTGAAAATCAGATTATTCAGTGGACGACACATACAACGCCACTCGTGAGTAGTAATGATCCAAAAGTATCCAGAATAAAACATGCAGTATGGTAATTAATTCCAGGGTGCTTGATGCTGTTGACGTTTTTGCCACTCGCTCGGATCAGAACAACCGAATGAATCCAGATAATTGTGCGGTCACCATTGAACGAGCCATCTAAAATGACCTTATGATTGCAGAAAACTTATGACTAAAACTCACCGTATGTTTTTAAAGAAGTGTCATCCTTGTTGTTTGGCAATGGAACTCGAGAATATGAAATTAGGCAGGCAGTGGTCGGAAGAAAAGATATTACAGGATGGTGCATATTTTAAAACAGGATGAGGTGTTAAGTGAAGGAGCATTAAGAATTAGATCCAGATAACTATTTAGTCCTTCCTTACGTTGTTAGTCAATGTATATTTACGTTATTTGCATGTCGTATTTGCTAGAGCTTGATGTTTAAACAAGACTATGTCGCTGAAGCATGTAAATGCTATTAAAGCTTGTTAACGAACCATCAAAGCTAATTAGTTAATTTAGACGACCAGTTTTTACTATCGATTGACCTAGTATGTTATGAGAAGTAATCAATATAACATCACGACAATGCATGTGAGCATTAATCAGAGGACTATTAGAATACTGGGTTAACATATATATAAAATCGATCGAGAAAGTTTAAGTGGAAATAAGGATTAACAATATATTGTTAATCCTATTATAATAGGTTGCGTTTCTTTAGTTGGGCTCACCAATGTAGAACTATGGTCTACTATGATATTAGTACTGCTCTAATAATAAACCTAATCCTGAAATTGTAGATTTGTCATGATATAACTGCCTAATCCATAAGATCTTACGTGGAAGTCACACCATCGGCTACATCAACTCACTGCATCGTATCAATTACCAGTACATTATGTAGAACAAGGTTAGGCTAGAGAAAGAACAATATATTTAATATGAATAGAAGATATAAAGTAACATTGAGATGGACCACGCCTGCATGGACGAGCCATGCCACTCGATCAACTCAGTCCATTCAATTCATTCTCTGCGCCTTCTCCATTGTTAGGTATTTCCCCGAGTTAAATATTGAATATCTATTTTCTGAGTAGTCTCGTGTTCATAGCTTTGTGGATTGTGTGGCTATTGTCCAACGCCACTACAGATTTATGTTAAAGTAGCCCAACCGTTTTTATTCAT